AGAGCCTGTCAAAAGAGATGGGTCCAGACTTCAAAATGTAATGGAATCCTAAAACCCATGTTCATATCACTCCGATGTACTGCCTTGTGACTGGACCCAGACACAAGTCCGCTGATCTCTGTTCAGGCCAGAGGAGGACACCAAACCTCTACATTTGGCTTCAGGGATTTCCGAGTTATAAGATCTTCAAAGTCTGATAGTAAAATCTAACGTTGCAAATCCTATAGTTATGGGACAGGAAGGAGTGTGTCCCCACCCAGTTGTAATACCTACCTTCATAATTACAGTGCAAGAGCAGTTCATAAAAATTCTCTTACCAGTAGGTTTCACACTAGAAAATGTCTTTACATTATGTTTTGTATTTTTAATTTGTCAATGGGCATGTGCACTCATCAGAGAAAGGCAGGGGTGGGGAAGGAGAAAGCAGGACTGTCACAATCCTTTTTCCTCCATCTCTCCCTCTTTTTGGGATTCTGGACGTGCACATACACACATCGGGGTGTGCTTTTCAAACTGCTGGGTCTGAGACTTGAATCACAGTCGGCCATGTAAGGATCCAGCTGTCTTAACCACCACACCACTGGCCAACCCTACGCTAATGGGTTTAAATGCACTGGATAAAACAGCACTTCTTCAAACAGCGCATGCAGCCCCACATGCTCACTTTGGTTTCTGACCGCCATGTGCCTTCAGTAAAGGGCAGATACAGAAAGGGGATTCCATCCCCAGGTGCTCGGGGCAAGGTGGATGGTCACACCCGCAGAACTGGTAGAAGCCCTCAGCTGCTGGATGCTTCTATCCTTGTTGATTTCTTTTCATTCTTTATTAATTTTTGTGGTGTTCTACTTCAAATTCCCAGGGGTGAAGGACAAAAGTTGAGATGCTGAAGTCAAGATGAGGGCCGGGCAGTAGTGCTCAGGTTTTACTTACGCACGCATCTGAGCATATTCATACATTTAAATACTGGTAGGAAGTCAGCGTACATGTATATAGTTAGCCGTCCTTGAAATCAAAATGCATTTCGTTAGGGTTGGCAGGTAGTGTGGTGGTTAGGGGCGCTGGACTCCCACATGGTTGACCACAGTTCAGGTCCCAGACCTGGAGGCTTGTTTTCCCGCTCTCTCTTATCAAATTTAAAAAATAATAATAATGATAAATAGAATAAAATAAATCATTCTTTTCAAAACTGTATTTAGTTTAAAATCTTTTAATGATCTTGAAGTTCTAAACCACACATAAAGACAAAATCAGGGCACAGAGAAAATCTGTAAGGAGTAACACCAGGGTCTTACACGTCAGGACTGTGCTAAGTACTGGTCCCTACCCTCGGCTTCCGTGAATCTTCACCTCAACGCAGCAAGGAGGGCGGTGTGATTCTTCGATGCCTTCATAATTACAGAGTAAGGGAAGTTAATGCAAAGTCTGCAGATGTAGACGTAGACTCCACAGTTGCTATGCATATCCATTTTTAAGAAGTAAGACAAAGAAGATAGAAGAAAACCTCATGTGTGGGCCAATAGGTGGCATGGTGGTTAAGGTACTGGATTCCCCATGGCTGACTTTGCAATCTGAGTCCCAGACCCAGCAGCTTGAAAAATCATGTTGGGCTGCCCAAAATCCTGAGAGGAGGATGAAGGAGAAGGGACTGCAGCATAGCCATCCTTCCGGGAAAGGGAGCGGGATTGATCTCTCACTTTCCCTCTCTCTCTCTGTCTCTCTCCAGAGAGCATATACATCCTATGGCAAAATTCTAAAAAAAAGAAAAAGAAAGCACTCATGCGGCCCAGTCACAGCGTCTGTGCTGCTGAAATGCTGTGCTCAAAGGCTGGGACTGTATCAGAGACCAGGTTTGCTTCCCAGTCCAGCCTAAAGGCTGAGCGTGGTGGCAAGCACCTATAATCCCAGGGACTTAAGGGGTTGAGGTAAGAGAGGCTAGCCAGGCAGCAGAGTGAAACCCTGTCTAAGAAAGAGTGGGACACAGTGGTAGAGGCTGAGGCCAGAGGATCACAACATGGCAAAACCCGACAGAGAGAAAGAGGGAAGGGAAAGGAAGAGATCCCTTATGAGTTTTATCAGCTCCACCCTACTGTAACCAAATCTGAAACTACATTTTTCAAATAAGAAACTAGTGAAAGTTAAGTGAAAAAAATTCAAAGAAAAGACAGAAGGGCAAAACTCTCAGTGTAGAAGAGCGGACAGGTCCCGAAGGAGAGTGAGGGCGAGGCCTGCATGGCTGACTCTCCCTGCCTTACTTTGAACCTAGGAGAAGGCTAAAAAGAAGCAGGAGTCCAACAGACACTACTCAGAAAGGAATTCAACCCCCAAGGACCTGGCCCAGATCAGAAAGAGAAAGATCCTTGAAGGAAACAGGATGAAGATGAAAAGGACAGGAAGAGCCAGGATGTGGACGTGCAGTGTTGAAAGCACTATCCAGAGGGAAAACCCAGTTTTAACGGCTTTCTGGCCTGAGAGAAATTATTGTAAAAGGATTTCACTGTACTTAAAAAAAAAATTCTCACTTTTAAATAGCAGGGACAGATAGAAGTTTTAGAAACCCAAAGACTTCATATTTATTTTACTCATGATTATAGTTACAAAGATAATCTTTTTCTACTTTTCTTTTTGTTTGTTTTATTTTACTTTTTTTTAGAGATTTTTGCTGTAGGACACATGCGCTCACCAGAAAGACAGAGACAGAGAGACAGAGAGACAGAAAGCGAGAAATCACCCCCCCAGGGGGAGATGGCTACACCACAATCCCTTCTCCTCCGTTCTCTTCTTGGGATCTTGGGCATGCACACACACGCGCCTGGCATGAGATTAAGCCACCGGGTCCGGACTCAAACCATGGTAGGCTGCATGGGAGTCCAACGACATAGCCATTACGCCAACTGCTGGTCCCACAAAGATAATCTTTAAATGTAAATATAATGGGATCTATTTTAAGAAATATATTCAGAGACGCTACAGAACAATGGTTAGGAGTGCTAGAGCCATGCTGCCTGGGTTTCAGTTTCTGGAAATGTGTTATTACCCCCTTGTACCTCAGCTTCCTAATCTGGTCAATGGAAATATTATATAGTGTGTGCTTTATAGGATTATGGTAAAGATAAAATTAGTTAGCAGACATAACAAGTGATATCTAAGTGTCTCTGTAATTCAATTATTTACCAAATACTTACTAACTTCCTGCTAACATAAAATAAGATCTATCGTTGGGGTATTAGGGGTAGGCAAGGGCAAGAAAGTGAATAAAATACATTTCCCCTCTGCAAACAAGAACACAGAGTAGCAGCACTTTGGAATTGTCCAAGCTCTTTCATGAAAATCTCATCTGATCTCAGAATGATCCCGAAGCCCTTGACTGAAGGGCATGGCCTATACCCAGAGTTACTGCAACCAACTGATCAACTGATCGAGAGTGTGAAGGGCTTTGAAAAACTGCAAAGTGCTCTGGAGGCAAGTGAGAATCATGCTGTCTGCTCAGCCATCAGCCTGTGGTAAAGTTTCCAAGTTTTCCCTTTGCTTAAGAGAGTTGCACCTACAATGTATAAGAAGAGTAGGGGGTAGCAATCATCACGGCCACCACGTTCCTCCCAGCACACGCAGGTACAGGGGGCAGCTACGCAGGCCAGACAGCCCACGGTTGCCCCTGCCCAGGGGAGCAGGGGACTAGAATCTGCCCTTCCTTAGTTGATGGGTTCTTCAAGAGAAACAAAAAAGTATGCTTAATTGACAAAACAATGAAAAGCTATTTGCTACTGATATCGTGCATAGTAATGTCTTTGTCTTGACTGATATGCATGGTAATCGTGCTGTGAAAAGAAATGTTATACACTGTAAAGATATATGTGATTAAATGTGATATAAATAAATAAAATTTTTAAAAATAAAGAGTATGAGGTGCTGCCAGTCACAGATGCAGTCTTGGGGACCCCAAACACGGGTTATCTGGGAAGCCTCTGACCTCTTATCTACACAAATGCCATGCCCTGCCCTCCTCCAGCCTCTCGGCCAGGGGAAGTTCAGAGTAACGCTGAGTACAAAATGTTTCCTTCTGCACTCAATTCTACATTTAATCTCTGCAGAGGATGCCTCTATGCAGTTGTCACTGTCACCTCTGTGGATCAAGAGCTTACACGCTGGCTTTCAGGGAAAAAACCTCTAATATCATGTTATTCTTATGACATTAGAGCTTTAAAAGTAATCCCTTCCATAACATCCCTCCAAGCAGAAATAGGAACAAAACTTGCTCCAAGTACAAAATCATTCCTTGAACACCAGCTTTGATAGCTGTGATTATCTTTCTACTTCTTCAAGTGAAACCATTCTAACAGCAAAATTGTTCTTTAACCTAAAAATTGCCCTTGGCTAGCCACGGTGGTATAGTGGCAACACAATACTCTGCAATGCTGAGGCCACATAGGAAGGTCCCCAGTTCATGCCCTGAGGCCACCCTGTGCACACAGGGAGTGCTTGCCTGAGACCCTGACTGGCTGAGGCCAGGGTAGATGGTAGCATGAAGACCCTGTTGGGGCAGCTCTCCCCAACTCTGTCTCTTCTCACATGGAAGAAATAAACTTTTTTTAAAAGGTGACCCTAAAGATGTGCCTTCCAAGTGACTTGAATTTTTAAATTCACTCAAAAACAAAAGTAGACAACTTTACGCTGCAGTTTTTATGTGAGCTGATATGTAAAATCAAATAATTAAACAAAAATAGTAATCTAACAAGTGAAATAGCCATCCTCTCTGGGGGGTGATTTCTCATTTTCTGTCTCTGTCTCTTTGGTGAGCACAGGCACCCTGTAGCAAAAAATCTCTCTAAAAATAAATAAATAAATAAATAAATAAATAAAGCGACATCTATGTTTTATTTTATAAATGAAACAAAATGGAAGTTTTCTAGTTTAGAATTTTTTAGAAATACAAAGTTAATGAAATTAGCTTATGATTGAAAATAGCAAATGAAAGGTATTCCTGGAGTATAAATAATAATTACCTTCTGGACATTGGCAGGTGAATCCATTGAGACTGGAAATGCATGTTGCTCCATTTCTGCATGGATCCAGGATGCAATAGTCAATCTTGGACTGGCAAAGCTCTCCAGTATAGCCTGAATAAAACAAGATTTTTAAACATGTTATTCTAAAACAAATATGATCGTCTCCATGCACTAATGGACTCACCTAGCCCCTGTTCCAGAATGTAGCAACGCTGGATCAGTCTCCCAGTCACTCACCATCTAATCTACTTTTACAACTAGGCCAATCAGAGAGGGCTGGAGTCACAGCTCTAAAGCCATTACCCTGGGCCAGCAGGTGCTGTGGGGGTTAGGGCAGCCGGATACCACATAGTGTCACTACACAATTCAAGTCCCAGACCACATGGCTTGAAATATATGCCAGATGCACCTGTGTGCATGCCCAAATCCCGAGAGGGAAGGAAAAGGGATAGCAGCATGGTCATCTACACTGGGGGTGATTACTCATTTTCTCTATTCTCTCTCTCTCTCTTTCTCTCTCTCTCTCTCTCTCTCTCTGTCCCTCCCTCCCTCCCTCCCTCCCTCTCCTCACTCCCAGCAAGCCCATGCACCCTATAGAAAAACAAAAGAAGAACTAAAAAAAAAAAATTATTTGCAAAAGTCTTTATTGCAAAGACGGACTTCTCTGGGTTCTTCATTAAGTCTGAGTTTTATCTTGAAATACTAGTCAGAACCTTCAGAAGCTGAGACTGGATGCCACGAACCCCTTTTATAGCTCCCTTCTTACATCAAAATTTATAATATTCTGCTTGAACTAGCTGACATGATAGCCTAGGTCCTCACAATACCCAAATTAAAAAGCATTAGGAAAATATCTATAATATTTTTAAACTAGAATTCATCTGTGTTAATCTTATGTCCTAGCTCCTCACTGTAAATACAAAGAGACTGAGGCATAAATAATGTTACGCATATTAATATATTGTTCTGAATACTTACTTGCATCACAGTGAAGCAAGCTTCTCATAATGGATATGTGGATAGCCACATGGGATGGATATAGATAGTAACATAACCACACACATGTAAATCTACTGAAACACCTGTGCAGTCAAAAAACTTTAAGTAAATTACAGAAGTTTTTTTTTTTTTAAATTTTTGAAAACAAAGCCCTCCAGATACACAAAGTTAAAAAAATACATACTGTGTGGTTTCCTGCTAGGCTCTGCACGGTTCATGAAGAAAGTAAGGGACTTGGGTTACCTGGCCTGCCCAGATCAATGCCTCACCCCCTGCTATTCTCAGACCCAGGGAAGAGCAGGGTTGTCCACAGGTGCAATCAAGCGTGACCAACTACCTTATGTAGCACCTCCCCAGCTCAGTGCCTACACTCATCCGAGATAGAAAAACAAGAGAGAATACAGCATGGAGCTAAAGTACACTGCAGAAAAGCACACAGCTACAGAAGAGTACCCCAAAGAAGTAGGAAGAAGTTTGTCACCAGATGCCTAAAAACAAACAAAGAAAGCCTCAAGAAATATGAGAAAACTAGGAAGGGTACCTTCCTCAAAAAAACACAGTAACTCCTCATCAATAACGGATAAAACACAAGAAATTACAGAAGTGACAGAAAAAGAATTCAGAATATTCCTCATCACAAAACTGAAAGAGATGCCAGAGAAAACAGACAACCAATTCCAGAAGATGAAAAATATCATTCCATGAATTTGAGAAGGAAATCCATTAAGAGATGAACACCCTAAAAAAGAGTCAAAGAGATCATCTGGAGATGAAGAATACTACACAAGAAATCAAAATTGCCATTGAAACCATTATTAGCTGACTAGACCATGCAGAAGAAAGAATTTCTGACCTGGAAGACAAAGCTCCTGACTTGGTAAAAACTACCAAAACAAATGAAAAAAGGACCAAGAAAAATGAGGATAGCATATGGAAAATGGCAGATACCATTAAATACCCAAATATCCATATAATGGGTATTTCAGAAGGTGAAGAGGCTGATAAAGGCATAGAAAACCTCTTTAATAAAATACTATCTGAAATCTCTCCAAAACTAGAGAAATGTACAAATATCAAGATCCAGGAGATAAGCAGAACACCAAGTAAAATCAGCATAAGAAGAACCTCTCCATAGTACATCATAGTCAGATTTGTGAAAAACAAGGATAAAAACAAGATGCTAAAAAACAACAAAAGAGAAATGTCAAATTACTTACAAAGGTCATCCTATTAGGCTAACATCAGACCTCTCAATTGAAACAATGTAGGCAAGGAAGAATGGGAAAGAAATATTCAAAATGCTCAAAGAAAATTAACATCCTAATATGTTTCTCACTTTCAAATGGGAAATAGAAAAAAAAAAAAAAGAAAGGAAACTATAACATAAATAGAAAGAGAAAAGGTAGCCCATGATTATATTATTTGAGTGACAGGATTATCAATACTTGGAGATAATTCCTATGAAAAATTTGCATGCATAGATATTTTCTACACAGTTATAATCATACTGTAACATTTTATATATTTCTAGGATGGTTTTAGCTACATAACAGCTTGTCTTTCTGAATTTTTAGTTTTGAAAGACTATCATTAGCATTTGAATGTGAGATTTGTAAAAATAAATCAAAGATATTAGAAGAGAAATAATTTGCCTGGGCTTCAATTACCTACCAAACTAGGATAGATTACACATTGTGAATGTAGACATTCATTTGCAATCCTACCATTTCTCAGACACTTTAAAACAGTCTAGGAGACTCTAGCTAATTCATGGGTATGAGAAGATGAGTAAGATAAGTATGTGAACTAAAAAATCCAAATGCCAGAATGAAAATCTATTTCAAAATTCCTATTGCATTAATATATCTTCAGATGAAAGTTCTATATTCAAAATAAGGAAGGGGGGATTGATTTTAGTTCATCTTTATAGTAGAGCACTTTTTTTTTTAAGAGAGAGATTTTTGCTATAGGGCACAGGCACTTGCCAGAGAGAGAGAAAGGCAGAGAGACAGAAAGTGTGAAATCACTCCCCAGTGGGGATGGCCACACCACAATCCCTTCTCCGTTCTCCTCTCAGGTTTTGAGCACACACGCACACAAGCCCAGTGGGAGTTTTAAGCTGCCAGGTCCAGGACTCGAACTGCAGTCAACTATGTGGGAGCCCACCAACATAACCATTATGCCATCTGCTGGTCCCAGCAGAGTACTTTTTAATAATCCATACATTAGGGACCAGCAGTTCGGGTAATGGTTATGTTGCTGGATTCCCATGTAGTTGACCATGGTTCGAGTCCTGGAGCCAGTGGCTTAAACCCATGCTGGGTGTGTATGCATGCATGCCCAAGATCCCAAGAGGAGAATGGAGGAGAAGGGATTGCAGCGTGGCCATCCCCCCTGTGGGGGGCGTGATTTCTCACTTTCTATCTCTCTGTCTCTCTCTGTCTTTCTGGCGAGTACATGTGCCCTATAGCAAAAACCTCTCCAAAAAATAAATAAACAAACAAATAAATAAGCAAATAAATAATTCACACATCAATTCATCCTCTCTGCAACCTTATGAGGGTAGTACTGTAATAATCACTACAATTTACAAATGAGGGAGCTGAGAATTAGGAAAGTTAAGAATTTTGTGCAAGGTGATACAAGTCAAATCACTCAGCTCAAGCCCTCCACCATGACCTCATACCTAAGGTACTAGACATCACCATCATCAATGAGCATATGGTTAACATGAAGGACAAAAAAGGAAGGAAAAATAATAGGAATGAAAATATATAGATATTGACAATGATAGATATAAAGTAAAAACTGTATTTATCCATAAATAAATCCATAGTACAGTCCATGTGTGCTTCTGCTTGACTGGGGAGGGGGCAAAATTATCTTTTCAAGTTCCTACCTTCAAAGGTTCTAGAACGTAACTAGAAAAGTACGCTTATAAAAAAGGTAACTGGAACCAACACATGACAGAGATATTAAGGTGACCATATCCCACATGACCAACTGCATGATTTCAGTACCAGACCCAGCAGCCTGAAAAAATACACCAGGCATGTGTGCATACATGCCCAAAATCCCAAGAGGAGAATGGATAAGTAATTGTGGCATGGTTTTGCCTCCTGGGTGCAATTACTCTCTTTCTCTCCTCCGTACCACCCCTCCACAGCAAGCACACCCCTATAGTAAACTAAAAAAATAAATAAATAAAAAGTAAAAATAACTGATTACAACTAGTAGCTTCTTAGAGGCAATGTGGCTTAAAGGTATGGATGTCATCATGAATCCTGTCATTGGAAAGACCTTAGAATGATGAACACAGAATCACACAAACCATGAAAAACTACCAGTCAATTAAATATCACTCGTTCCAGCTCTAAGTCTCTATCAGACAGAAAGAATGTAAGAGGAATGAAGGAGTTTATAAACATCAAGGTTCTTTAAAGGAAAAAAAATTAATAATTATTTAATTTTATATATTATCATAATTTGACCAGAGAGAGACAAAGAGGGAAAATGAGAAAGCAAGCCTCCAGGTCCAGGACTCAAATTGCAGTCGGCCATGTGGGAGTCCAACACCTAAACCACCATGCCATCAGCAGCCCTTTTAAAGAAAAAAAAATTTTTAGATAGTTTTGCTATAGGGTGTACGTGCTTGACAGAGACACAGAGAGAGACAGAAAGCAAGAAATTCCCGCCCCCCACCAGGAGAGATGGCCATGCTGCAATCCCTTCTCCATTCTCTTCTAGGGATTTTGGACCCACACGCACATGTACCTGGGGTGAGTTTCAAGCCAAGTCCAGGACTCAAACAGCAGTTGGCCATGTAAGAGTCCAGGGACATAGGCATTACGCCATCTGCTGGTCCTTAATGAAAATTTTAACAATCACTTTCTTTGAACTTTTTCCTTGAGAATTTTCTTTTTTCTTTTTTTTCTTTTTTTTTTTTTTTTGGAGAGGTTTTTCGCTATAGGGCGCGTGCGCTCACCAGAAAGACAGAGAAAGACAGAGAGACAGAAAGCGAGAAATCACCCCCCCAGGGGGGATGGCCACACCACAATCCCTTCTCCTCCATTCTCCTCTCAGGATCTTGGGCACGCATGCACACGCGCCCG